AAAAATTCGTAAAAGTTTATTACTTTTATATTTGGCAATATATAATTGTAATACGACCAACAATTGTAAGGAAAAAAAAAGAAAAATATATATATTTTATTTGTTTTGTTTTATTCTAAGTTTTGTTTAACTGTATTGTAATATATATATATATATATATATATATATATATATATATATATATATATATATATATATATATATATATATATATATATATATATATTACAACAGTCGTTTTATTATATCTTCATTGCAAATTGATTGAATTTCTTGCATGGTGTTGGCAATAACTCTTAAAATCTTTATAACGAGCCTCTTGAGCTTCCTCTAATAGACAATATCATTTTTTTCCACTATAAGTTATTCATGTATCAAAATTTTATGCAGTCGGTGAGGAATGTAGTACCAAGAGTATTATTTAACAAAATATCTGATAGTTCCAAAGCAACTACTTTCGATTAGCACTTTATCAATACCTTTATTTTTACTAAGCGCGTCTTCATTTAAAAAGGCTGTCCTGGCTGTATTACCATCGTTAGCGTTTCCACTACCACCTGAAAAACTATAACGGAGACCGTGGATGAAATGCTTTTTTTTTAATGACAATTTCAATGTCATTCACTACTGATGGGTTACATCTACGCAATGAATATGACTGACTCGAATCAGCTGGATAAATCTGTGTGCACCTTTCCATCAATCATAGATGAAGAATTTTCATTCGTTCAAAAATAAAATATTTTGTATTTATAAACAAAATTATCAGATATCTGATAATTTTGTTTATAAATACTTTGAATAGTTGAGCCATAAAGTCAAACTTTGTATTATACCATTGCTTTATCAAACTCACAAGATCAAAATAACTTCTCTTTGTAATTCTAATTATCTTTTACAAGTATGGTTGAACAGATCTTCTAATAAAATATTAGCTGAATAATCACTAACAAATATGTTATTAAGATAGCATAGTTCTTTTGCAGCTCTGACATTTTATATATGCTGGGTATATACAAATTTATTTTTCTAAAGCATTCTTTTGATTTTATTCATAAGAAGTCTTTGATACGTTACAATTTAAAAGTAGTGCTAAGGCCTCAGTCATTGTCGTTGGTTTAATATTTGTTTTTAAAATGTTATGAGCAACTTTACCTTCGTCTTTCCTTTTATCATTATTTAAATTGACTTCAGCAGCAAATGTTGTTGATTAGTACAATTAGTGATGCTTGTTCAACTATATATTATTGTACTAATTTTCTATATTTTTTTCTTAATGAGCAATCATTAAAGTCTACAATTGGTTTACCAATAGGATGGTTTTACGGTGTAACAAGATTTTCTGAAGTAGCGAGAATATCTTTAGTCACTCTTCCAAAATAAATTTTTATTTTGTCAAGGTTTTCACTTTTGCTCGAATTTCACAGCAATTTTTCTGTATTCAATTCAACGTTTTTTAAAACGTTTTAAAAAGTTCATCAAATTTTCCTTTATTTTCTCGACAATTTCTTGTTCAATGAAATCATTCCAATCAGACATAATTTAACAATATAGTATGGACTATATTGTTAAATTATGTCTGATTGGACAGACTCTTCATTCATTAAGAACTGATTATTCCTGATTCAAAATATTTCATTATACAGCTAAAAAAATGTAAACAACATAAAGCAAATGAAAATAAGTAATAATTTAAAAACCCTAACTTAAGTGACGTAATGTTAGTTATTTTCATACGAGGGAGGATGCAGTAGAGGTATTGCAGGTAGTCAATACTCAAATTAAAGAACAAAATATTTTTATCATCCTCATTTTATCAAAAATTAACAGAATTCATCAACAAATTTTTAGGCTTATTATGTTACATCAATATCAAATATAAAAATCCCCTCAAAATTAGGTGGTTTAACAAAATGTATTTAGCTTTAGAGTTCGGCAGTACTTAAAGTTGCAAGAAGTAGCAGCTAAAACTAATTTTAACTCATAGTAAACATGATACTCATTTATTGTATATACTCATAGATGTGTTCGCTTGTGTTCAAAAAGTATTAGGTTACATATACCTCTCTCATAATTGTGATAAAGATTTTTCACACGTCTTTTTAAACAATAGGAAAAAAAATTGGCATTCATATTTTGTTATTATTACCAGAAAATAATAAGCTATAAATATATTTCAAATTTACTAAAAAAAGCGCCACGAATAAAATTAATATTTAATTTGTGAAGAAATAAAATTGAACATATTTTTTATTGATTTTTTAATTGTTTTGAGTATCAGAAAAAAATGCTTCTTTAATTTGTAGCTGTAAAAACAGTTTTTGAGTTATGAAAAAAAAAAATTCATTTTAGAAAGGCCATGATATATATTATACAATATCTAAAAAAAAAAAATTTTTTTAATAATGACATATATGACTTTTTGTCACAGTCTGGCCTACTGAACAAACTTTCTCTGAATATTAACAAAACTGAATTTATCTTATTCCATAAATCAGATAAAGCTGATATCATCCCATTGAAATTACCATATCTTATTACAAAAAAAACTATTATTAAAAGAAAATCATCAGAAAACATTTTAGGCTTAGAGTTGGATGGAAATTAACGAATGTAAACATTATTGCAATGATATATAGAGCTAAATTATTTCTTACTTTTAAAAAAAAGACTTTTTTAACTAAAAGGATTATACTTTGCTTTTAATCATATTTACTTAACACCTTTGTTAAGTGAATGCAACATCGCTTGTTCTATATTATTTAAATTTAAAATACAAAGCAAAAAAGTTGCAAAGCTTAAAGGTTATTTAAAATTTAATTTTTTTGAAAAAGCTTACGTGTCAAAGTTTAGAAACAACTGAATTTGATTAAAATTTATCTTAAAAAAGCTGAAACCTTTACTAAAATTCACAAAATAACAATTTTTTAATAAAATAGTTTCAATAAGACAATTAGTATTTGGTGGCATATCGATTTGCATTTAAAAAAACATCACAGGGCACACTGATGAGGCCTGGTGGTGTACAAAAGTAAAAAAAAAAAGTTCTCAAAAATGACATTCTTATATACCATTTTTTAGTTTAAACATCCATCTTTTATAAAATGTATATATTTTAGTATATATATCATGCGGTTTGCATTGTTAAAGTAATTTTTTTTCAAAAAAAAATTTTTTTAATTTAATAATTTTTTGTGTGTTTCTATAAGCGTTAAATATTTAATATTTTTAAAACCTTCTTTTTTTTCTTTTTTTTTTTTTTTTGCATAGGTAAATAAAATAAAGTATTATCTTTCAAATAAGCTACTGCAACACTATTTTGCACTTAAGTTATGTCAAATTTCTCATGACTGAGTATTTAAAGTATTTTTTTCAGTTAAAATTTCACTAATATAGTCAAATACTTTTGCGGTCCAAGTTGGTTCAGTAATTTGAACTTAAAATACGTTGTCTGAGGTATATTTTATCGATATGAGTTTGATTCATACTCCGCGGATGTCAGCCTAGTCTCTAAAAAGACTAGGCGGACATCCGCGGACAATTATTAATATATTAATAACTTTTACAAGTTAAATGACGTCTCAGATTTTATGTGGCAAAAAATATATTTATGTTTTTGCATCATATATAAAAATAATGTACTTATTGGACATATTTAGAACCAAATACCAAAAGTGAATTTTGATAAAAAAGTACTTATTTTTGTTTTCGTTAAGAGTTGATGCTGAGGATTTGTTTGTATAAAACATGTATATTATGCCGTTTTTTTCCCTTTACGTATTTGCTAACAATTTTTCTTTTGATTTATGCTTTTATTTTTATAATTAAAAAAAATCAAATTTGGGATATGATATAATGATATGATGTCATATGATGCAATTTTAATCATTTTACATATTTAAGGTTAAAATTTTAATATTAAACTTACAAAAATGGAATTGTTTTAGATTTCATCTCCATATTTTGTGCATTATTTAAAATACTTCTATTAATGATGTCTTTTGAACAAGACAGGCACAGCTGGTTTAAATGAAAATGGTTTTTTTTCTCTTAAGATGGCATTTGGAATTGGCATTTGGTCTTCAGGATACTGTATAATGAAGCTTTAAAGTTAAGTATGCCATCATAGGCACCTTTCCTCTACGTTTTGTCAAAATATCATACATTTTTCCAATACAAATAATGCCATAACTTCGAATCCACTTAACTTCTAAAGCACTTAACTAAATCTAAAAGACCGCTCAAACTTAAAAATCTTCTCAGGCTCTATACAATCACGTTAATTAGTATATTATATATAAATAATATTTATATATAATTATGCGGAGAAAAAAATCGTTTTGGAATTGCTAAATTGTGTTATTTTTAAGAGCCATTTGTAAAATGATAATTACACGCCAGGTAGCTAGGCAATTGAAAATAATTTGAAAGAGATTAAGTACCCAGTGGGAAAAAAGACGTCAAAAAGACGTCTTTGAAAGTCTTATTTACGATGTCTTGAAGACGTCTTTTTTTAATCGATTATGCCAATCTAAAAGACATCTTTTTTCGACATCGAAAAGACAACTTTATTTATCTTAATGTTGTCATAAAAATACATAAAAAATGCGTCTTTAAGACGCCTTTTTTTATTCGATTATGCAAATCTAAAAGACATCTTTTTCCGACATCGAAAAAGCATCTTTTTTGTCTTTATCTTGTCGTGAAAAGGCATAAAAAATGCGTCTTTAAGACGTCTTTGTTTATCATTATGCATTTCTAAAAACGTTTTTTTTCTCGGGGTCGGAAAGACTTTTTTGTTATACTTATTAGTATACTATAGTATCCTATACACTATAGTATTCCTATTTTTCATATATGAAAAACTGTTTTTTTTTTCCGATGCCAAGAAAAAAAACTCTTTCAGATATCAATATAAAAGAGGAATTATTTTCTACATCTAACATATGTTTAAACATATGTTAGATGTAGAAAATAATTTATAAATAAAAACAACAGTATTGTTCAACAGAATATTTCTTCATTTTTCTCTTTCTCCTCTGTTTCTTGAGCGAGCTCTGTTTCTTGGCGTTGTTGAATAAAGCTAACTATTTCACGTCGAGAAATCCTTTCATACGAGCTGGTTACGACTTCTAAAAAACGAGTGAATATAAAAAACAGTCTCTTGCTTGAATGTAAAAGCAAATGAAACTTGATTTGCTAATTGAAACACATTAGACTTACCGACTTTTAATTCAAAAAGGGCTGATCCTTTTAACCCCCTCATGTTTCTAGCGCGGTCCTTTCTTTTTGAACCCACTAGGTTAGATTCGGACAGGAGTCAAACGGTAAACAGTCTAAAAATATATAAAAATGAGTGTGCTAAAGAAATATACAACTATCAAAATGACTGTACAATGATGTATTTAATTATGTAGTACATAAACCAAGCTAAACATTTACACCTCTCACATTTGTTATGAAAGCCAAGTTCTTGAAAACAGATTGATATTTTTCTGTCTTCTATGACGTGATTTTTTAATTGAATTAAGCTAAAATGAAGTGTTGTAGTCTCATAACAATTTAAAAATCCGTTATTGGTTTAAGACTATCAAAACAAAAAGATAATTCAGCTAATACACCTTGAGAGTCGTTATTCATTTAAACTGGATAAAAGTATTAATCAAAGCTCTATTTTAGCGTGAAACATAATGATGCTTTACTTAACAAACATAAACTTATAAAAACTGGCGATATCATTAGCAACACAGATGAAATACACATAAACAAAAATGAAGACTAGAAATCTGCAATGATGTTTAGATATAGGAAAGTGTACCTTTCCAGTATCATTTTCACTTGGTCTTTTGTATCCAAACCAAAAGTTTGCAAACAATTCTAAAGATAAAGCTGTTGTCATTATATGCATTTTATTACTTGCTTTGTTAACGACAGACAACAGTTAACAAGTAAATAACAACTTAAAAATAAAAGTTAAAACGCCAATCTTTTGTATAAACAATTTCATCATTCAACTAAATAAAAACAACAAAATTATTCAGATCATTTAAAAATATATAAAAAAAATTATTGATTCTTTTAAAGGATTGATGAAGTTAAAATTCGTTTGTAACTGTTTAAATATTGCTTTTTTAATTTTAGTGAGTTTTTTTGTATGTGATTTTTTTTTTAAATAGCGTCTTCTAGTTTTTTAAAACTTTTTTAAAACAGAATGTTGATTAGATATAATTTTTGTCTTGTTTTGCATTGAAAATAATTTTTTTAAATGGTTTTGCACGGACTAATTAATTTAAGGGAGGTAAAATGTTATTAAGATAGTGGCTTTTAAATTTCAATTTTTATTTGTAAAGATTTAGGAATATTAATAATGCAAAAAAAAATTATCTTTTTTTTAAAAAAAAAAGTGAATTATCTGGTTTTGCTATTCCACTCCTCATATCTTCTCTACTAATAATTTCCGGAACAGGAACAAAGTTTTTAAAACCATAAAGTGTTTGTTAGTAACTACAAAACTACTGGACTTTCAAACTAAAATTTAAGTTAGTTTTAAATTTTATAAAAAAAACACAACAAACACATATTTATAACACAGTCACATATTTTAACTTTAACTTTATTTAAAATTATCTACATTTTACTAACTATATACATGTTGTTGTCATATAAGAATGATTTGTGAAAGAATTGCGGTAATAGGATCCGGAAACAAAAAAATCTCAAACATTTTTACTACAATAAATGTGGAGACAAAGAGTAAACAAAATAGTTTTTACTTTTAATTGAAACTTTTTGTAAATCTTTCTAATAAATATATGCATGATTATTTTCAACTCGCAAAAAAAAAAAAAACCTTTCCTATCATGTAAAACAATAAATTATGGGTAGGTAGAAATGAAATTCTACCTTCCCATAATTTTAAAATTTTACAATTGAAACAAAATGTCCTAAGTAAAAAAAAAATTAACTTTAGTAAATATGAAATAAAGAATTTCTATAGAAATTTTATTCACCTTTACCTCCCCCAATAAATTTAGACTCAAAATATAAAAAATTTTTAACTTTTAAAAAATATTACAAAAAGGCTATTAAAACAAAATTTCATAAATTTTTAAGTTCGTAAAAAAATAGGCTTACCTTTATTTCAACAAATTAACAAATTAAAAAACGACGGCATTATTAAGCAAGTAAAAAATTGATAATAATATTAATAAGTAATGAATTAAAATCTTATTGTATTTTGCACTACTAAAAAAACAAAGTACTTTAATCTCTATTTTCATTCCATTTTTAATAGAATTCACGGAATATTGGTATATAACATGTTTATATTATATACCAATAATATAAATGTTAATTCTTCTCATATAGCATAATAAAATACCATATAACACAACATTATATATTTACCCCGGGCCGCAATAATTTTTCATGCAGCACTTTTTCGTAACAGTCAACTAATTCTTGAATATAGTTGAACAGTCAACTAATTCTTGAATAACAATATGCATTATATATGCATATTGTTAAATTTGGTCATAACTTATAATATAACGTACGCATTTATTTTTTTATTTTTTGCTGAATGCAATAAATAAACTTTTAAGTAAAATAATAATTATTACTCATATCTCCTTCAATTACTTAAATTGCGCAATAAAAATATAATTGTTTTAATTTTGTGTCTTTTAGTTCGTTTATAAAGAGTTTTCATTGAAAAAACATAAATTATATAACGGGAGTTTAAGGTTTAACTAATAAATGCCAGTATTAGTATGAATTACAACGTTTAAAAGAATGCCAATACATAGTCATTTGACTTATCGCTTATAGTACAATTCAATTTTTTAGTTTTGCAAAATGAACAATTACTCCGTAATTGTTCATAGCATGAAGCCTTTCCTTAACATGTCAACAACATTTTTTTAATTTTTAATAGACTCGTGCGTAAGTCAAAATATATTGAATAAGATTTAGTTTTAAAGCTTTTATCGCTTGTTTTGGTGATATTTTTTGTCATGAACGTGTTTGATCCAAAATGTCTGATCTTAGGCCTTCCAATCTTTGAATCAGAAATCAGTTTCAAGAAAGGATTGCACAGTCAATGGGTAGAATCATTTTTATCTCTTTATCATAATATGTTAGTTGTTTACGCTACCAAAGAAAAATTACTACCGCTTCAACACTTTATGCCCAAAACTAGCACCTTATCGGTCGGTTTAAAAACTGAGAAACGAGTTTTTGAGATTATCTCTCAAACCGACACTACATTATATTTGTTTGAAACGAGCTCTGATTTTTTTGCAGATATTTGGATTTTAAATTTAAAAAATGCAGGTTGGAAATTAATCGAACTATATCCATGGAATGACAGCACGTATTTTAACCAAGATAATGATTTTAAGATTAACGAAATAAGTAATCAATTAACTAAATTAACAAATTTGAATGAAAAGAAAGAAGAAAAGTTTATGGAGAGCCATTCAATATCTTACCTAACTGACGATAAAAAGTTTGAGGTAGAAATGGTTACTGAAGAAACAGAAGAACAAATTTCAGAAAGTGGTTACGTCTCTAAAGTAAAACTCGAAGGAAAAACCCGAAAAAAAAGTGTTTTTATTCATGCGCAAGAGGTGAGTCTATATTGATTGTTATTTCATGTTTATGATAAAAATTTTTACATAAACATTCCTCTCCATACTCCGCAGCGTCTCATTTCTTCTGACAAACAAATAGTCTAAATATTTTTTTATATTTTTGTAATCCTTTATAATTGTCATTTAAAAAAAAGTTTTATTATAAAAGTTGTAGTATAACAAGAATAAAGTATTTCGTGGTCTAGCACATTTTAAACATGCTCGCACTCGCGCACAAATTTGTGTTAACAACTCTAAAATGTCATATGAAACATTGACCAATAAACAATTCATGCGTTATTCTTTTGGCTTTAAAACCAATTGCAAATACGTCTTTTTTAAATAATAAATACCTTGAATTCCACTTAAATACACGAATAACACTATAATAACAATACTATGATAATTCTCTTTAAATTTTGCATTAATTTAAATAAGCAAATTTCTATGGACTTCTTAAACCACCAAAAATCTTTAAACTACCAACCAGAACTTCTTAAACCACCAAATATCTTTAAACTAGCAACCAGAAAAAAAAGGCATTCAAGTTGTATATTTTCATTCACTTTTTTTTATGATACCTTTTTTTTAATTGTATATGTACTTAGTGCAAAATGGGTTACTAGATCAAAACGTTGTTCTGATTTTGGAAAAAAAAAATAATAGTTAGTTTTATTGTATACATATATATATATATATATATATATATATATATATATATATATATATATATATATATATATATATATATATATATATATATATTTAATTATTTTAATACACTTATTATTTTCAAAATAAAGTTGTTCATCTTTATAATCAATGAAAAAATAATAATAAAAGTTTTTTTATTGGATGAATATTGTGAAAAGGAGGAGAAAATAAAATTACAGAAGAAATGTATTAAAAGAATAAAATCAATCTAATACATAATATTAGAACGAGGAAATAAACACATAAATTGATTACTTTATTGATTCTTAACTAACGTAAGCAAAATATTGTTTTCGTTTTCATCAAATAACTTCCTTATTTTTTAACATATTAAAAATATAAATTTTGATTTTTCAAAGAGATGTAGTATAAAAGGCTTAAACCGTCACAAAGTTGTCATGTAACAAAAGTATTATTTTTATAATAATAACAATAATAATAATAATAAACACAATTTATAGTAAATGCGTAAGCATTTGCAAGCAGGGCAACTAACAAAGCCCCGCTATGATAAATGTCTATGATAAATGTCTGTTTTGTTTTTATTAAAAGTTTTGCAAAAAAGTCTAGTTGAATTTAAAAAGCGCTAACTGACGCGGCAGATACGATGGAGTTTGGAAGTATGTTCCAGTCTGGTACAATGCGGTTACAGAGGAAGAATTCTCTTTGTAAACAGTTTGTTACTGTTTGACGTTAAAGACGATGACGTTGGCCACGGAGGCCGTTGGCTGGTCCTTGCACGTTTAGTGCTGGAGCTAGTGAGTTTGGTTTACAAAGCTCAACTTCATTAATGCCGTGGTATAGTTTTAAAAACTGTATTAGGTCACCCATACGTCTTCTATCCTTAATTGATTGAATGTTTATTGTGGCTAGTCTTTAGTGATAAATTAAAGGCTTGAGATGAGGTACAAGCTTAGTGGCTCTTTCTTGCACTGATTTGAGAGCATCAATGTCTCCGCCAGGGCTGTGGAGCGGAGTCGGAAACGCTAAAAAAAATCGCGACTCCGACTCAAATAGTAAAACTTCTCGGTATTGTACGTGCATATAAAAAATATTCAATTAACCTTGTATTCATATTAAACCTCAAAGAACTTTTCATAAATTTGGCAAAAAAAATATTTTTAACTTATCGCGTATTATTTTTTTAAGAATTCAGAGAACTTTTCAAAAAACTGCTTTGGAGTTGGAATCGGAGTCGGAGTTGGAGTTTGAGCCGGAGTTGGAGTCGTACTATAAAAATTTTAACAACCGGAGTTGGAGTCGGAGTCGGTACTTTTTTCTTACGACTCCACACCCCTGGTCCGCAATGATAAGGGTTTGAGGCGGCAGAACAAAACTTGTGGTCGTACATAAGTTGTATAAAGTACACGAATACTGGAATGTTCTTTTTAACATGCCTAGTAATGTATTGGCTTTGGCTACAGCTTGTGCGACTTGGTCTTGCCACTTAAAACGGTCGTTGACAATGATACCAAGGTCACGCTTGGATGTGGTCTCACTAAAGCTGTGTCAGCTATCGATGCGGTCAACTTTGGTAAATATTACGTGCGAGCAAGGTAAAATGTCAATAAATGCAGCGTTGAGGCGGTTGTTAACTCTCTTGTCAAAGAACATGGCTTTACACTTTGTCCTCATTAAAACTCATGCTCCATGAGTGAGCCCATTTAACTTGGTGATCAATGTCACCTAGAGCTTCCAGCAAGCAGGAACATCACCAGTAATAAAAGACTTTTTGAAGACCAGAGAGAAAGGTAGTGCTAACGCTAAACGAGCTTCTGGAAGGATGAAAGGATGAAAGTATGAAATCCATCAACACCCAGTGGTTTGTGTTTGTCCAGTTTGGAGAAACGCAATTCGACTGTGGCTTAGGAGAAGTTTTCTTGATTTATAATGTGAATTGTATCAGGGCGTGGTTAGAAAATACAAGCATCACCAGGAAGATCCTTGCTATAATCAAAGAAGAGCTTTTTATTTAGCAAGTTGCATATCTCGGTTCCGTCGGATGTTATCACACCGTTTCCATTCTCAAGAGCTTTAATATGATTTTTTTAGTTTTTGGTCTTGTTAACTAAATTATGAAAAAGTCTAGCGCTATCTTCTAACTTGCTTATCATGTTACGTTCGTGTGTGAAAAGGGTTTTATAAACAAAACTTTCGACTTTCTTTTTTGTTAAACTCCGGTGTTTTTGGTCTCGGGGTACAGCAAGAAGTCGGGCAAAAATGACAGATTTTTCTTTTGACGCTTGCTTAACTTCATCATTAAGCCATTTTGGGTATGAGAATAATTTGGGGCGAGTTGGAGCGAATGATGAAATGGCGGTGAGATTTACGGGGTAGTTGAAATCTCCAAGGATAAGAAGTTTAGTGAATTTCTTTTGCTCAACGAGAATAGAAGCTTGACGAATCGAACGGTTGATGATTTTGTTTATTGCAGGCTCAGAGTTAGGCGATCTATAAATACATCCTAATAAAATGCATTCAGAGCCAATATTTATTTGACTTCATATCTGTTTGCTACCAGTTCCATTGAGAGTTTTGTCATTTTTGAATTCGAAAGCGCTGATTGTGTTTTTCGTGTAGACAGCGACTCCTTTTCGGGAGGAAATACGCGAGAGACAGAAAGGTATCGAGTAGTTTTCGATCAAAAGTGGTTTTTCTGGGTCGAACCAGGTCTCACAGAAACAGAGTACTTCTTGATAGTTTTTCTGAACAAGTAGAAAGTTGAATTCGCCGAATTTGTTTGAGAGCGAGATCGGATTTGTGTAGAAGCATTTAAGTAGTTTAGGAAAAGGTGAAATATTGAAGATGGCTGATAAGTTTGGTGGTTGTGGATGCTAGATTAAAGAATTAGACTGGAATTTTTGGCTTAACGGCATTAAAAGCAGCCTTCCAGTTGCCGAATGGGCACCATTAAAAAGGACTTTTTTTGCGGCGGTATTCGCCGCAAAAAAACTTCTTGAAAATATATGTTGTTTAAACATAGAAAGTATTAGCTGACAGACGACGATATAGTATAGTAAAAATGAAATATATTCAAAACAACATATATAGGATAGTAGAAATAGAAGTTGATTAAAAATTTTCTTTAAATACGCATCAATATTAATTTGTAATTTTTTTAACAAACTCCCATTATAACTACGGTGGCCATTGTCCTGGTTTTTACGTGGAAAATGGGCCAAAGCCACCCACGTTTACGAAACTTATAATTGTAAATGTTTAATTAACGTGGTTTTTGATTAACGTGATTAAATGGTGGATTTCGGAAAATTAAAAATCAAACTTAAAGCATATATGCATATAAATCTCGATGAATAAACAAGTAAATCATATTATGATATGAATAAGCAAGTAAATCATGTTATGAGTTACATTTAGTAAAGTTTTACCAGCTCATTAGTTATGATTACGGTGACCATTGTTCTGGTTTTTACGTAGGAGAGCGCAGCACCAAACTGATTAAAATTAGTTTAGCGCTTCGCTCTCTTACCTTAATATCTTGTGGATGAAAACCACAAAAGTATTTCCTCAAACACTGGACACTGTTAAAACTACATAAAAAATACATTAAAAAAATTATTCATTGAAAATAGTTTTTGGAGGGTTTCAATGGTGGGTTAAAGTCAACTTCGGTGTTAAAGTGACTTTGGTCCAATCCTATAAAAAGGGACTACAAGATGTATTGATTCAATAGAAGCAGCAATGTTTAGGTACAAAAAACTAATTTACAAAAATAAGGTTTTAAAATAGATTTTGTAACATATTTTAGATAAAAAGTATATAAAATATAGGTACGAAAGCAACAAGTTACGATCGTGTCTAAGTACTAAGTACTAAGTTGCGGAATATCTCAAGTCACATAACTCTACAGGAAAGCCGAATCCTAATTGATTTTTTTGCGTATCTTAAAATTTTTTTCTGTAGATATAAATAATGGCTAGCCGTAATATTTTTTGAGATAAGGGTGTTTAATCTTATCTTAAATAATGGTCTGGATGTTTTGTATATATTAATGCTGGTTGTTTAGGTTAAAAACCGTTTTTATAACTTTTTATGCGTTATGATGTACTTGTTTTAAAGTACAGGTAACAAGATTTCTGCTTCCAATATTTGGTTTATAATTTCTAGGACTATTTAAACTAAGAGCTGAAATAGTTTCACAACTATATTGATTTAATAGTATGTTTCAAATACTTATACGAATTTAGTGTTGTAATAATACAAAAAATACAAAAAAAATACGAATACAAAAATTTTTTACCATTACTTACCATAAACTCTCC